TCCCAAGTCTCTCTCAAGGGATATTCTTCTTTGATAGACATATCTCCATTTTGTCACATTGTGAATGGAATGAAATGAGATATTGTCTAGAGGAGCAGCTGGCATGGGTTTCAGAGTTTTCTTACTTGAGGATTTCTTCACATTGAAGATATTAGGAACATCTCTCACAACATCACCATCAGACTCAGTGTTACTATTCGTAACTTTCCTTCTCTTGGATGCAGTTGATGCCTTGTTCCAAGATTTAAAAGGTCCAACAAGAGTTCTTTTTCTCTGACTTTTGGAATGATTTCCTTCAAGTACAACTTTTTCTTTCTTGGCTAGTTTCCTGACTATACCAAAAGCAACATTCTTGATGAGTTCATCATCTAATGACACATCTACAACATGATAACCATTTCCAACAGCTTCATTCATCTCTTCCTCATTTTTTGAGCTCTTGGTTTCATCATGTTGGTCATCATCCAGACCTTCCTCCTGTACCACAGAATTAGCTAGATTTTCTAGGTTCTCTGTGTTAGGGTTAGACTTAGCAGAGAAACACTCAGAGTCATCTTCATGGCTATCATTGTGATGTGGAGATGGATCTACCCTAGATAGGGGAATGGTTATCCCTTGTACTTCACAACCTTCATGGAATAGTTTGGAGACCAGTTCATCTACATACCTGTCCTTATGTGTAAAGCCCTTCATTTTGTTTATGGAGGATTCAGAATTCTTACCTTTTTGCTCTACATGTGAAGGAGCTGAAGTTTGGCCTTCACTACCTCTTCCAAAAATCATACTTATAGAAATGACATCCATCACATCATCCATAGAGATGCTCTTGTGCTGAGCAGAGTCGGGCTTGGTAGGGATAGAGGTATGATGTTGAGACATTGTAGATGACTTAGGCTGTATCGGAAGAGGTTTTCTGATGAGGTTATGTGAGGTAAGGAAAGAGGCGATTTGGTAGAAGCAAAAGGGGCTAGAAGGGTTTGCTTGAAGAAGTGGAGGGAATTCAATATTTTGACCAATCAGAATATGATTATTTTTCAAAATATAATTCCCTATTAATTGCTAAAATTCAGTATTAGGCCCAGTTCTCAACTTACTTAGTGAATTTTTAAATTGAGTGGTCTTGAGATCCCTTGTATCCCTGTGATCACTGTATGCTTCTGAGTCTCCTAGTTCCTCATATTCTTTCCCAAGGTGATGCTAGTCAATATTTTTCATGTCTTTCTCTGGCTGACTTGGATTCCAATTTATGGCACCGAGATTGTCACAAAACAATGTCAAGACATTCTGAGTGACATTGCTCCATGTATGCTGGGTAGCTTCCATGGACTCCATCAGGTTCCAGTATAACATATCTAGATTTCCCTGATGGCCATTCTTTGGGTGTCCCTTCTTGGCTTGCCTGCCCACACGACATTTACCACATCCTATCCTACTATCTGAAGTAGACTTTGAAGTTCCTCTTGCTACTGTTTTGGACATGGTCCTTTCTATTTTTAGAAGATGTTTTCCTTTCTCCAGCTACAGTTGATCCTTCTTCTCTTTTTGGACCAAGCCATTGAGGTTACTTCTGGGCTCCCATAGGTAACAGTTGTTCTTGGCTCTGGACCCCCTCATGACTTCCTCACCTTCTTCATTGGTGACAATACAATTACTCTTAGTGAATTTAACATTAAATCCTTGGTCACAAAGCTGACTGATACTGATAAGATTAACAGTCAGTCCTTTAACCAACATGACATCATCCAGTTTTGGAACACCATGATAATCTAGCTGTCCAGCACCTGTGATTTCTCCTCTAGATCCATCACCAAATGTTACATGACTTGAGGAATGAGGTTTGATATTTACCAAAAGGTTCTCCATTCCAGTCATGTGTCTAAAGCAACCACTAGACCAGAGTTTCCCACTCACTCCCCCTCAATCACCCCGGTGATATAAACCAATTCACAATTAAGATATGAAGACACACTTCAAACACACACATTGATCTTGCTTCACAACTTTGATCAAGTGACACATCCCTCTTGCTTAAAAGCTTTGAGTGGCACAATGAACACAAGAGTTCATACATACTAAACCAATGCAATTGTACAGCTAACAATTGCTTGGCATACAAGTATCCTAAGACACACGTGAAGAACCAAAATTCTTCACTCACACAAACAACGTGAAGAACAACCTCTTCACTCACAAGACACACTCTCTAGTCTCTCTTTAGAAGCTCTGCCCTATTAGGAATCCTTCTGTTATTTATAGCAACAGACTTGCTTTGGGCCTTGATGGAGAAACTAGGTTTACCTAAGATAAACCTCTCTTCATGAAGCTGCGCACTTATCATCAGGTCAGGAGTCTTCCATGTTATCCTCAGCCATGCCTGTTATGTCGCCTAAAATAACTATACTTCCTAGATTGTTTCCTAAAGTATAGCCTGAGCTAATAACAGAAAAACAAACCATGCGCGTCCTGATGTCATACGCTTGATGTCATAACATCCAGCCACGACATTCAGCTTCACTTACTCTTATCTCTCCCTACAGAACACTCTTCATGTATGTCATAACATCAGTTGTGACATTCATTCATACAACAATGTTTTGCCATAAAATGCAGCCAATCAAGAGCATCTACAACATCCACTAACTAGCGGGACTAAATAAGCTTTCGATCAATTACCCAACGCCCCTCTAAACTGGATAGCTCTATATGTGCATCCAAGCTCCTTATAGAAAGTCACCAGAGACAAATCTCCTTCCATGTAAACATATGAGATCGCCCCTGTCAAGTAGTGACTCTAAGTCTAATACTTATGAAATATATCAGAGCAAGTAGAGGAAAGATCAGGTTCTAAGTTGCATATCTTTGCACGTGCCTCCATGGTCAGAGGATAACCATGTAGAACTGTCATCGAAATGCTTTAGGTTATCAAAATAAGCCTTGAGCCTGATATTTTTCCTAAAGGAAAATAGACCAATAACCATTTGTATAGTTGAAGTTGTTTCGAACTCTGGAAAGATGAAAGAACAATGTCACTGTTCACTTACCCATTTTATTCGCACCATTATTGGACAAATTTAATGAATTCTCGGCTCACGAGATGCAACAGGTAAGAGGAAATCAACAAGTTATTCAACATGATGATTTCGAATTCATTGAAAGGAATGTGGTAACTTATGATAGAGAACAAACATTCGTGGAAAAGGATAGTGCATCTAAAATATCGGATACAAATCCTTTTATCTTCATTTAGGGGAAACACCCCATAATCAGCTACGAAACCCATATCTGTCAAAGCTTGATCAAACGCAACTTCATGAACAAAGCAGAGACAAACTCTAATATGTTAGGATCCACCCAATTGCCTAGATGTCCTTACCAGCCTTCTTGGTCGAAGTTGATGTTATCACCATGGTAAAAAATGTTGTAAAACATAACTGATGCAAGTATCGTGAAGCAAGAAAATTTGAGTGAATCATATCTTGGAAGCCTTAGAGGAAATCTACAAGAGCAAAAAGAAAAACATGAACTTCGAGATCAGGGGAAGGATCATTGCAACACCCAAAACAAATGTCCACAAGCAAAATTTTCTAAACTTGGTTCAACGATAAAACGTAACACTTTCAGGGAAAAACGATAAAGGGAAGAAAAAAAAACTCTCTTTGCATATCACCAGTAAAAAAAAGGTAAAATAACACTTTGAAAACCCTTTATATTTTATTCAGTAATTAAAGATTGTACAATATACCCCACGCCACCAACGATTGATATCCTTTAAAAAATGGCTTGAAAATAATCAATTGCTCTAATGAAGGAGAAACATCATCACTAGCTAGTGAGTAAAGGTATGTAAGTCACTCCCACCATTATGTTAACTCCCAAGAGGGGTATTTAATGTGCCCATACCCAAGAACGACAACTTTCCATCTGAAACTTCCAAATCCATGAATCTCGTGTTTGAGTAATGATATGTGTCATAAACCCCCGTCTTACAAAGCAAAGATAAGGGGTTTAGGCAATTGTTATGAGCCTCTCGCATGGCCTGGCCTAGAAGTCAAAGGCTCAATTATAAAATAACAAACTTATGAGTGCATAATAGGTATATTTATTTTCCTTTGCGTCACAAGTAACCCCTCACAAGAAAGTATATTTTGAAGACATTATATTTTGTTTTGAAGAAAATATTTGTAATAAAATATAAATATTTTACAATACCAAAAAATTTATTAATGTTATTTTTCCTATTATATTTTTAAAATTTTATTACATATTTTCTTTCAATTATTTAAATTTATTTTTCACATACGGTTAATAAAAACAATATTATAAAATCATATATAATTTTTCTTCTCTATACGACAATAATAATTACTTTTCCTAACATGTGTTATTAAAAGTTCAAAACCTCTCATAAAACTTACTTTTCTTAATCCGTGTTGTTAAAAGTTCAAAATGCCTATAAACATTGTATTTAATACTAGCGCTTTTAGTTCAAGAAATTCAGACAAATTAAACTGTTACCAACAAAATTTAAACATTTATATGCTAATTTATGTCTTTGGAGGGCAAGTTAAGAGATAAATATATGACATAATTCTTAAAAATTGTGTAATAAATTTAATACAGCCTTTTAATTAATGACTTTATTGTTTTTTTTCATACATATTTTTTATTTGTGAGTTTTTTAATGGCATTACCCTTATATAAATATTAAAAAGTGGAACCGACAACATTTTGTTTTGTGCTGATAAATATACATCTTTAAAAGTATAAAATTTCATTTTAAATTGTGACTTCACACATTAAATGAACATGTTATATATTGTGTCAGCTTACTAAGACTAATTCAGCTTACTAACGATTAACTAAAATATATTTTCATTTAATAACATTACCAAAGACCACCTCTTTTATGTTCTATATAAACTCAGACCTTGAGTCACTTATACTCACCAAGCAAAAGCACATTGCAATATATCTATTTCAATCCATTTCCTAGAGAAGCAATGGCAAGTTTGAGAGTTTCTTGTGTGGTTGCATTGATGTGCATGGTGGTTATTACTGCACCAATGGCAGAGGCTGCAATCACATGCGGAGCAGTAAGTATTGCTCTTTCTACATGCGTTCCTTATCTTAAGGGTGATCCTATTCCTTCACCAGCATGCTGTGGTGGAGTGAGGGGCCTTAACGAGTCGGCCCAAACTATCTTCGACCGTAGGTCTGCTTGCAACTGCTTGAAAAAATTTGCTGGTAGCATTCTTGGTTTGAAGCCCGGCAGTCTTGCCGCTCTCCCTGGCAAATGTGGTGTTAGTCTTCCTTTCACAATTAGCGCCTCTACCAACTGTAATGAGTAAGTTTTGTAACTCACTCTTCTCATCATGACATATTCTTACCTGTTAAATCTCTGCTATCAGAAAAAGTTGACTAGGAGGTCTTGGATTCGAACCTGAAAAAACATATTTAATCAATTAAATTTATTAATTTGTTTGTGTTTCTGCAGTATTGCAGCATCAGATTCTAAATATAGCGTGGGTGAGAGGAAGAAGCAGATAGCATGGCACTTCTTTCTACTGCAGTATTAGTGCTACTAGCTGAAGAGTTAACTAATGAGAATAAAGGGCAACGGGGCTCCACTTTTGCGAGTCTCCTCGGCTTGTATCTGAGTTTGGTCTATAATCGTATTGCACAATGAATTTTTTTTCTTCCCAATTTGAATGTTACATTTGTAATAAAGATATATGATATATAATTCCGTGCTACTTTACTTTCTATTTTTAACAATTGTCTTATTGCTTTCCTCTCCCTATATTTATTGTTCTTGCTTAGTCCAAATTCTTTAGAATGCGTGAGTTGAACTTAAATCATGCCTACGAAACCGATTTGTAAGATGAGGATTGTCCCTCCACTTATAAACACAATACATATCATATTTCTAAGCAATGTGAGACTAATTCACCCTTTCAACCCCCAACACAATAAAGACGTTGAAGGCTGCAATGAAGGCAAGCCAAACGCCGAAATTTAGGCGACTTGGAACGGACCATAATAAAGGTAGAAATTCCAACACAACCCCTCACGCTCGGGAAGTGTGGACGATGCGGAAAGCCCAACAAGTGATCTAGGATACTCTGATACCATCTTAGAATGTGCAGGTTGGATTTAACGCATCCCTGCAACACCGGCTTGTAAGGTGGAGACCACCCAAAAGTGATGCATTGATAACTTGTTAATCAAGGAACCAACCTCAACCAACTGAAATTCAATTTACTAAATTGATAGGGAACAGTTATGGACACAAGGGATAGATGCATGCAACTAACCAAATTTGTCATTCTAAATTAAATATAGCTCAACAACTTTATACTAAAAACTAAATTCAATCAACTAACTTTCGATGTAGATTGTACAAGGGGTGGGGTCAGTTATTAACTCAAATGAGAATTTAATCCTGATGTAAAAGAAACAGATGGAGATGATGTCATTAAGGCTGTTTATGGTTAGAGTTCGGTCAGAAACCAAACCGAACTGAACTATAGTAATAGGTCACCCAAACTGACCTGCATAAGAGGAGATGTCAATACTGTCTAAATGTAAGATTGCGGCGACCAGGACAAAGGCCGGTATCTTGAACCAATTCATCTGGTGCCGAATTTGGTATGATAGATGAGACACCATGGTAGACATGTCGAGAATCACCACCAAATATAAGAACATCTCCTGATTCTAGAAGTATGTTCTCTGCCTTCTTAACATCCCTTTGATCTCCGTAAAGAAATTCTGCTGAATCACCAATCGAGAAGGATACAACTGGCAACCCTTTTTGAAGACTTTCTTCCCTTTCATCGCGATCCTGCATCAAGTAGTTTTAAAATGGAAACAACAAAAGTAAATGGCTAGCAACAAAGTAGTGTAGCTAACCTGATGAAGACCAAGTCTTCCACTAGTTGAATAAAAATTGACAATGTATATATCAGGAGTCATTGAAGGTAGTAAATCCTCTACATAGCTTATTCCAAATTTCTGATTATATAGCTGATGTGCTTCTCGTATAGCTCTTGTAACCAACTTATTAAAGTAAGGAGGAATACTTGGTGGTTGGCTACTATCAATCCCCCTTTTATATCCATATTTTCTTGTTTGAGGATCCCAGTCCTTACCAAGACACATCATCATCAATCTAAGTTTGGCTCCATCTGCATAGCCTGGTTGATAGAATCCTCCAGGACCGAGACCGAGATCGCAGCAATTTTTCACTATTTCTACCTAAAGTTATTCAAGAAAATGTGGTAAAAGAATTAAATCCGCCACATAAGAAGTAAATAAGTATTCCAATACATAAAGTGTAGAGAATTTATGGTGCATCGTTCATGAACACGAGGGAAGACCAGACATATAAATGCATTTTATTACAACAAGTGAAAGAAATTCCGAGAATAGAAAGGAAATCATCAATTTAGATCCTGATATTGTAGGGCGCTGTTAATTTAGTTCTTAAAACTATTATTACAAAATAGCCTTTAAATTGAAAATCTTCAACTTTTGCATTCTGAAAGATCAAAGAAAGATCAAGCACCTGTTCATGATGTGATAAGTGATGTTTTAGGAGAACCATCCCTGGCCTCAGTATCCCTTCATTTGTTCCTTCCTCCTGCATCTCAAATCCAATGCCGTTTTCCTCGTTCGTTTCTAGCGATGTAGCTCCTGTCAAAGTAGGTTTTCTCTCACCGCGAAAACAGATGTCACAGTTAAATTTTCTTTGCCTTTTATTAGTGTTGCACCCCAAAATTTGCTCTCTTTCAAGACTTGACTCATTTCTTCATTTCTTTCAAATTTAATGACATAAAGAAAATCCATAATAAATTCAAGATTAAAGGCAAGAATATTATAAAGAGAAGTTTTGTGACATTACAAGAATGTCATTTGTTGCAAGATTTTCAACTCTAAGTAATGTTTAGAAATTAATTTATTTCTAATAATTCATTCAAGTCTATAGTCAAATTCATGTTATGGTAATGCCACACCAAGTCTACATTATACTTACAAACATCCAAGAAACATGCAAGGATTAAATCAACATTGGAATGTTTTAGGAACAAGAGTATGCATGTTTAATCATGGCAAAACAGTCCTATGTAAGAGGTGACAAATTTCTTCATGCCACAAGATCACATGTCACAAGACCAAGGGAATAGCACATGATAATGCATCTAAATATTAGAATTTAAAATTCTGTCCAAAAAGTAGTAGTATTGACCACAAGGGTATGTCCAAGCATAAGCCAACAAAATGTCACAAGACACAAAGTGCTGCAGAAAAAAGGCCTAGCAATAGTGCAGAAAATACAGCATAGCAACATACATGGAAATGGAAAGAAAGAGAGTGACATGAAGAAAGTTGCCTTGGATATTTCTAAGTAAGGATTTGAAGTCTTGAAAGAAGAGTAAACCCTAATGTGCTGAGATAAGAGAGGAGAGGGGGTTGCAAACTATCATTCACAAACACAAGATTGAGAGAGTAAGAGAGAAGAGAAAAAACAGAAAATAAAGAGAGCAAAACAATACCCTAAAAAACAGAAAAATAAGAAGCTTTGCAAACCAAAAAAGAGAGTGATATAGAACCAAGAGGATCATTAAGAAACAAAACCTTCACAACATAGAGGGAAGAGGAGTGAGGTACATTCAACCAAGACCAAGGAGGACTTGCAAGAAGAATAGAAAGCTCTTGGGTATCCATTTCCTCCAACCTTTCTCTCTTTATATTTTTGCTATTTACATTCATTTCGTTTACTCTTTTATGTGTTGTTGTATTGTATGCATCATGTAAGGTCCTAAGGGACCAATGAACCTTTTGAAGGAACCACAAAAGAAGCAAAAAACATAGAAAAAGTTAGGTTTTTCACTCTGGTAGCCTGACACGGGCCGTGTCCCACAACACGGCCACCCGTGTCGCCCAACACGGGCCGTGTCACACAACACGGCCACCCGTGTTGCACCTCTGTTTGAGGTTTCCAACGACCAAAAAACCCCAGACTTCATAACACAGGCCGTGTCACACAACACGGCCACCCGCGTTGCACCTCTATTTGCCCTAAAAATCATTTTTCACCCAGACTTTACAACACGGGCCGTGTCACACAACACGACCACCCGTGTTGCACCTCTGTCATGCCCTAAAAACTCACATTGCAGGTACCCTATGGCACGGGCCGTGTCATACAACACGGCCACCCGTGTTACTCCACTGTTTTCCACTTATTTTTATTATTTTTACCTCCAAAATTTTTTTCTGTTTTTATTACATGTCTCGATTTTTTTTTTTAGCCGACTAATCCCATATGTTGTATGATTTTAGTAGGAATGTTGCTATTGTCCTTGGTGACTTTTGATTCCAAAAACCATTTTCAAAAGCAAACTCTCGATTTTATCGAGCCACTTTTAACCCTTGTAAGTCGGTCGCCTTGTATGTTCGCCATCGACCTTGCTCGCTTCACCTCTAACATTTTTTAAACAATTAAATCCTTGACCCAACGTCAAGCGGATTTTCTTAAACTATTAAGCCAATTCACCATATTTAATAAAAGGGTAAAGTTCTCTTTGTATTGAACTAAAGAGAAGGGATTGAGTGTAGACTTCTTCCTTTCCGAGTGTCGAGATGCTCACTATAGTGTGGGTGGTTTTGACACTCGTCTTTCAATACGAAGATGTTTTTATCCACACCTTTTTCTCCTAAAAAACATCGGCCCCGTACCGAGTGCATTTTCAAAACACTTATAATAAATAAATCGATTCCCTTTGTATTGAACTAAAGAGAGAGGATTGAGTGTAGACTCCTTCCTCTCCGAGTGTTGGGATATTCACCGTAGTGCGGGTGGTCTCGATCCTCGTCTTTCAATACGAAGACGTGACTTTATCCGCCACCTATCTTCCCACAATTTCCTTTCGCAACCTTTCACACCTAAAATCTAGGTCCTGCACCGAGCGCATTTTCAAACTTACTTTCGTAACAAAAGCTTGAGTGGTCGTGGAGTGTTTGGGCGTAGGCCTTCTCCTATCTCGAGTGCTGACGTTTACCGTAGGGTTCTCTTTCACAAAAGCACTTACCATTCAAAACCAAAAACACTTTAATAAGAGAATGAAGTTCTCTTTGTATTGAACTAAAGAGAGAGGATTAAGTGTAGATTTCTTCCTCTCCGAGTGTCGAGATGCTCACTGTAGTGTGTGTGGTTTTGATACTCGTCTTTCAATACGAAGACGCTATGTTCGCCACACCCTTTTATAACAAAAACTTTGAGTTAAAAAATTAGGTACTACCCGTAGGGGTTACTATCCGAGAACCTATCTCGCCCCTTTAAAAGAAACAATTCAACAAATCAAATGTGACATCTTGCCTCGCATGGCGAAAACTTATCTTTTGAAAAGGATATGATACGTCCGTTCTACCGCAAACAGGTAATGCCTAAGTCTCCAACGAGCGAGCAGCAATACACCTAACTGCTAGAATGCGTACGATAGCATCATCCATAAAAACATCAACAAATCGTAGGCCGAACTACGGCTGCTCTGATTCTTTACTTTTTTCAAAGTAAAGATACGTTGGCACAAGGGCCACAATCCTTGCCGAACACATTCCCCCTATATCTGTAATTCCCCGAACTACGTCGACTCTGATTTTCTCATATCCGTTGAGAATACGTAGGCCTAGGACCGCGAAGTCCTACCGAGTCCAACCTTTCTCTCTTCTTCCCTGTTGCCTCATTTCTTAGTTTCTAAACCCTCTTTCTTTACCTTTTGGAAAACACTTTTATAAACATAACATTTAAGCAAATAAATTCACACATTCGACAAGCAAATGGTTCTCATCGAGTACGATGGATGCGAGGGGTGCTAATACCTTCCCCTCGCATAACCGATTTCCGAACCCGTTCTTGGTCGCGAGACCATCTTATCCATTTCTTTCTTAAGGTTTTCTCGATATTTTCCTTTTCCATCATGGGATAAATAAAGTTCGGTGGCGACTTTTCTGTCCTTTCCTTTTCGCCTTCCCCGTCGTTGCGCGTATTTTTCGAGTAGCGACAATTAGATAGTCTATCAACTAACAATGTCTTTGTTGGTGATATATAACTACTATTATCATCATCAAAACTAGAACAAAAACTAGATTCACTAGAGTTATTCCTATTGTGCTGTCCCATTTCTAAATCTACGCAAATTCTCCTCTTGAATTTACTTTGTTCTATTGGCTGACCACAACTAGATATAAACTCAAGGAGTGCATTCTTCTTTTTCGTTTTATGCCACGGTACAGGATTAGTGTCCGCCATAAATATCACAGAATCCTGCGGGTCATAACCAATTTATAGAAAAATGAAGACTCACATTATAGCACAAAGTTAACCCTATTCACATTTCAAATTAGAGGATAATTTATAATCAGTAGATAAATCCAAATCAATTGATTATAATAATTTATAATACTTGTTTACACCCTAACCCTAGTTCTAAATTCTAATCCTTCAAACAAAGTTTGTACTTAAATTGGTAAAAGATTTTCAAATTAGAGGATAATTTTATCACTTCATAAGCTTAAGAGCTAAATTATATTATCCTATGCTTATAATTTAAAATATCAAAAATAGTGATTAATTCGTAAAAATAGAGCTTACAATCAATGTCTTCATCTTGTGGCTGTGATGACTTTGCATTGTCGTTGTTTGTTTCAGCCATGGATAGTGAAATCTTGTTGGAGGAGAAACGGAGGAGAAAACGGCGTTTTAGGGAAAGAGGAGAGTAAAACGACGACGTAAGGGTAGTAAGAATGAAGTGTCGTGAAGAAAGCATGGGCATGGCCGAGATTAATAATGAATATGGTAACTAAAGAACAACCCAAAGTAATAATCCATCGATACACATATAAAATAAAATTCGCACTTGTGTTTTTTAATTAGTTTGATAGAAAGATGAAAAAATAATTTGTATTTAATTTTATTTTGAAAAAAATGTAGTTTTGAAATAAAATAATCGTTATTTTTTTTAATATAATTTATGATAAGAAAAATGCCTGTTTTTTTATTTTAATTTATTTACAGGTGGGGTATATTAGAAAATAAACATTCATTTAATTTGATTAGATAAATATGTGAAATTTATTTTGTGAGAAAGATGATAGGTATATTTAAAATTCTACCAATTGATTAAGAGATGTATAATGTGTAGATAAGATGTAGGAGAGGTGATACTTATAAATACTTTTGACGCTCAAGTTAATGATTGTCGGATATGAGAGGTATAAAATTAAGAGAATTTTGTGTGCACCTTAATTTGACTTATGTTGTTCTTTATATAAGAGTCGTGTATTTATCAAAAAGTACAGATGTGTATGGTATTTCTACAGGGATAAGAGGTACCCAAAGGCCTTAGTAATTTAGGAGCTTAGGGCCTACTCACAACGCCAATGCGCTTTACGACAGTGAGTTTGGTGTTTAGAGATCTCGCCCACAACGGTGAGAGGCTCTATTTAGTTAGTGGTTATGGAAATGACTAGCTCATGTGGGGTGAGAAGCTCTCTATGGTGTGCAATCAATGTAGGTATCAGTTATCCCTTCCACCTTATAGAGGAGTATTTATAGGCCCGTTGAGCGTAGGGTTTATCAAACCT